GATCTAAGTGTTGCTCAAGGGGGGGGAAGGTTTGGCCTGATGGTGGCACTAGAGGAAAGGTCATAAAGTCTCCAAAATCAATACATTTTTGGCATGAGAACAACAAATCTCATGCACATCCAGCCTTTCATTTTAGAGATTGGTTTGGAATAGAACAACAAACAAATAAAGAGACCTTGGGATTCTTTAAATAACTGATGTTTTTTTACTGAAGATTAATTATGTAAATGAAATGCATGTATATAGCGCCTTTCTAATCTTCCGACCACTCAAAGTGCTTTAGACCATGCTCATGCATGGTAAGGGCCTGGTTGACAGAGTGTCAGTGCACGTGTCCAAACCTTGCATGTTGGTGCTTTCGATCATGCACGTGTCCAGGTCAGTCCAGTATAGACGATGGTCTACGTAGTCAATGGTCAGCCCGTTGGCCCGGCCCACTTTGTCCACCAGGGTCGTGATGGTGCTGCCATCCATGTAGGCTCTGGCTATACGAGGTCGACCCCCCCACTCTGTCCAGTACATGTAGCTGCACAGACAAAAACACAAGTTCAGCCTAGGACAGCTGTATGTAACAGAGTTATGTAAGAGTTACGCTGGTTTCAGTGAAATCCGTTTTTGTCTGATACACTATTTATTTAATTGGATCATATATTCCAGAAGGGGAACCTGTTTCCACTTTATAACTGTTGTTTCTATTGTCTTTATTAATGTATGGGCATTGTATGTGTTAATTTAATGACATCAGACGCCTCCAGGCAAGCGTGCTGTCAGCTCTGGACCATGACATCATCATCAAGACATCACCAAGTGAGTGACATGTTACGAAATTTGACACGCTGGCACAGGTACTCAACACTCATACAAACATAGACTCATACAGTTCAGAGTGTCTGGGGGGGGTTGGCCAGTGATGAAGGCTGATAATGTCGGCCTTGTTAACACACAGGTTCAATAGCATCATCCCTCTCTCAGCTGGAGGTTATGGGGAAAGAGGCAGGACGCTGGCGGTTGTACCTACATACCAACACAGTGACACTGCTACACTCTCACTACCTCAGACAGAGTGAGGAGACACACTACATGAAGTCATTGGCACCAGCTCATGTGACTGACAGACGCCGACCTCCAGCATAATACAGGTGTCTGACAGTATACCTCCATAGGGTTGCTCCACTAACTGTTCTTTTTAACTGTTCAGTTTTGTCTTGCCTTATACTTTTTTTTACACACTTGTCTAAGTTGGAGGTGAAACATTTAGAGCATGTAGCTAAGAGGGTTGGCAATAGATACAACACTGTTCATTAAACAACAATGGTGGCTGCTAAAGAGGTTAGCGTAGATGCTGCTAGCATCAGTTCTGCCAGAACTGGAGAGTATTTCTGCATTGAAAGAAGGGCAAAGAACGGCACTGAAGGCCTTTCTCCATGGAAAATTTGTTTTCTCTCTTCTCTCAACTAGTTTCAGTTGGGAGAAGGGAGAAAACTGCGTTATATAGTACATTGAGCTAACTGATTAACGTTCACCTGTGACAGATGGTCCATCCAATCACCTGTCACCAACAGTTTCCAATGACGGTAGATTAGTAGATCTTGTACAATTTAGCAAATTTGTATTAAATTCCCGCTCTTACCCATTGGCTGGGTCCAGTGCTAGTGACCGTGGGTTGTCCAGTGAGCGCGGGTTGTCAAGATCCTTGCAGACCAGGACCTGCCGGTACTGGCCGTCCAGCCGGGCCACCTCAATGCGGTTAGTGCCTGTGTCAGCCCAGTAGATGTTACGACCCATCCAGTCAACTGCCATGCCTTCTGGGTAGTCCAATCCAAACTCTATGACATGTTCTACAGAGCTGCCATTCATATACGCTCTGCTGATTGTCTGAGAGAATGAGAGAGCACGAAAAAGGAGTGAGAGGAAAACAGGAAGAAATTAATTTCAATTTAACTTGGGGCAACGACTCCAAATTACGCACTAGGGATCCCAGCTTTCCTGAATTCCTTCAAATCGATTGGGTGATGGGGTACAAGGTATCCACAAAATACTTTTGTCACATAAAACTAACTATGAAGTTATTAAATCCAAAATACACCCAAACATTTGCCTTTTCTGAAGATGAATTACAAGATAACTCTTGCGGTTGAGTGCTTCTTATGTGAACAGTCTTTTTCCCTCACCTCTACTCTCCTCACCAAAAATCCTAAATAGGGAATAAATACACTGTCCAAATATGGTCAAATATGTATTCTGACTGAATTACATAACAAACATTTTTATAGAAATACACATATATTTACCTAATACCTATTTTTAATACAGTTTCATAAATTGTGTTTGTGTTTAATTTCTGCAGCCCAGCTTACCTTGGCCTGTATGTCTGTCCAGTAAATTCTTCTTTCAGACACATCAAAGTCGAGAGCAGACGCCTCTTTAACTCCGGTCAGAGGAATGGCCACATCGTTGCTGTTGGTACCCAAAGAGATGCTCCTGATGTTGTCCCTGAGGAAAACAAGAGCATGTGACATGTGTTTTACATACACAGGTGCTTATTTTATCAAGTTAGTGGAGAGCTAAACCGGAAGCATGTGCCACAGAGCATGCACATTCATCCAGGTCATTTCTTTACACAGTGGAGTGGATTTTTTGGCTTCACGCACCACTAAGAAACTTTCATAGTAATAAACAGAGACCAGCCTCCAGTTCTCTCTACACAGGCTGCATAGCATGAGTAGCATGTTAGCAGAGCAGCAGCCTTAGTCCTCTGTCTGGTTCTACACAGGAATACTTTTTCTAGATCACTTTAACGTAATGCAAACTGTTACGTGTAGAAAACTGTAAAATAGAAGCGCATCCACGAGGCATAAACTCAACTCTCGATACCAGGGTTAAAAAAAGAAGACAAATTATGACCAAAAAATATTTAACAACCTAACGTAGCACATAAAACAAGCAAAGTCAAAAGTTGCTGCTGTTTAAAAAGAGTATGACGATAATTTTTTATTATAAAACTCTGAATCTGAATCTGCACATATAAAACTGTCGCGAGATATATCTTTCCCAGTATCCACAGACGTGCATGAAATGAATGACTGAAAAATCCACTGGCTGAAACCATGACAAATCAGTGTCAAAACAACCATTAGACCAAGTCAAGTCTGAGATAAAAGTATGTCTTGAGACCATAACTGGACTCGAATACAACAGTTCTGCAAAAGGTAGGAGCCTGAGCTAGGAAGAAGGAAACAGTGTCCGTCTACATAACTCATTTAGGTGTTTTGTGTCTTTGTTTTGTCATTTGGTTGAATGAATAGACATCATGAATGGAATATGTACTAGTAGCAGCTAACAAGATCAGTGGAACGGTGAGCAGGTTTCTATTGCAGGTTGACAGGTAGGCCTTTACCTGTTGGTGAAGAGCAGGAAAGCCTCAGGCACCACGCAGGTCTGCAGGTCTGAGAGGAGCTCCATACCCATGGGACAAGCACAGCTGACGGCTTTCCGACACCAGAAACACAGATGGCTGCACCCGCCATTATTCACTGCACAGCCATTAGTACCTGGACACAGATTGGAGGAGGGAAGGTTTGAATATTCATTACATCTTTTCTTGTCTTCATTTTTGTTACTAAATCAGCTGTCCTCCTTACCGTAAGTCTCTGTCACTTTAGTGGCCTTCAGCCCCATTAAATCCGGCAGCTGATCGATGATGATCTCTCTTACGGCCGTAGCTTTATGGACCCTCTCAATGCTGCGTCTCTGCCAGTCGGTCCAGTAGATGTAGTCACCCAGCAGAGTAAAACCAAAGATATGAGGCAGCTTGTCCTCCAGCAGAGTCTGTCTGTTACTGCCATCCACATTGATCACCTGAGGTGGGAACAAACAGAAGAGACAGGGAAAGCTTTAGAGCTTTTCCTTGGCTAGACTACATGTTAAAAACATATTGTTAACATTCTTCATGGTCAAACAACAGTAGAATATAATACTTAACAGTTTGATTTTACAACTGTATGGGGAATAAAACCTGGAAAGGTAAAACACATCACATGTCCCAATGAATGTGGTTACAGCGTCCCTCAAGCATCCTTGAGCAATACACCGAATCCATCAACTCCCCAATTGCTATTCTGTTGCTGACACTGACCGCTGACGGGGTCCATTTCCATCCAGGGAGTAACATAAGGACACATATGATAGAGGTTGTGGCTAAAGAAACTGGGAGTGCTGGAAAAATAAACAGGATGGAGGGAGATACTGACTGACAGACAAAAGGCAGAAAACGATGTCCACAGGAAGTTGTATGCCCCAAAAACAGAATAAAAAATAACTGACACTGACAGAGCAGGACAAAAAATGTATATATTCCTTTCTCTGCCACCAGAACTTGGTCATTTGAAAGCAAAGTGAGTTTCTTTTAATGTCTCTGTCTGAATAGAAAGTCAGGAGGACCAAGAGGGTGCCAACATTTTGCCCTTTTCTGAGGTGCCTCAGAGAGTTTAATACACCGCAAATTACGACGACACAAAAATAGACAAAACACAAGAAAATGAAGAAAATGAAAAAAACAACTTCACCACTTTGACAACACATACAGAAAACACAAGCCCCATTCACATCACACCCATGGCATAAATAACGGTGCTGCAGATACAGAAAATACCAGCAAATACAATGACAACAGAACAACAGAGTAGAATTACAACACTAGTGCTGAAACTAACGATTATTTTCATTATTGATTAATCTGTTGATAATTTTCTCAATGAATTGATTAGTAGTTTGGTCTATAAAATGATTTTTGAAAATAATTTTTTATTTTATTTTTTATTTTTTTATTTTTTTCCCCAAAGTCCAAGGTGACGTCCTCAAATGTATTGTCCACAACCCAAAGCTGAAATCGGAGGATCTGGACATTTATTCTTAAAAAATTCTTCAAAATGATTAAGCGATAATCAAAATAGCACAAAACAAGTCCCCTCAATAAGTTGATCGGCAGAAGTTTGATTTGCTTTATTGAGTTTTCAAGCATAACTGTCAAACTTTTGACTTTTTTTTGATGGCTTCTTAGAAGTAAGAATCTGCTGGTTTTCGACTATTTTCTGACATTTAATAGACAAAATGATAAAAACATCATAAGATTTATCAATAAGGCAAACAATTTTTAGTTGCAGCCCTGCTGACAACACAACGAGCTATGTAGCAATGTTTGAGAATGTTTATTTCTTACTGATATTACTGGAGATATTGGATAGTGTAAACCTCTTACTAATAGATATGCTATGTGCTATGTTTGTTTACATTGAAAAGACACATTTTGGAGAAAACAAAAGGTAAAACCGACGTATATATAGTCACATATAAAGTTAGCTAATGTTAGCAAAACTCTAGCTAACTAGCTAGCTAATCTACATCAATCATTAGCTAACTAGTTAGGTAGCTAGTTAGCGCTTTACAACAGAGCAAAATGCTAGCTAATTTACTTTAATTGTTAGCGAGCTAGTTATATCTAACGATCGATGTAGATTTATCAATCGGGTGTTTGTGACTATATATATATATGTTGCTTTTACCTTTTAACTATCTTCAAAATGTTGTTGTCCTTTCAACATAGATTAGCACATAGCTCAACTAAGTACAGGAAAGGAGGAAGTTGACTGAGGTTCCAAAAGGGGCCGGACCTAAGAAGAGTCAATTGGTTGCACATTACTACTGTGTCAGGATTGAACAGGCAATAGAACAATAGAGAAGGCTTGCTAGACAAATAAGGATGTCCAGGTCCTCATTAGTATTTGTGTAGAGGTCATTGAGAGGTAGCTGGAGTCAGCACCGAAAGGTGGACCATAAGATTTCTTAGCATCTGGCAAACATTAAGATACAACACACATAAGATTCAAGAAAAATAGTGTCACAATTCCACACAGTGGAGCAGACCAAAATCACTGTTTTTGGGCCAGAAACCAGTTTGTGCCGGCCCCAGTACGGCCTTGGATTGAGCAACAAACCTTTTTTTTTTTAGCCTGAAATTTCCATGCTGACACACAGATTACAAAATCACAGGCAAAACACACACTAATACACACACAACACAATTTCTCACAACCTGCTTCTCTGTTCTGCAAATGTTTCTGTGTGTGTGTGAGTGTGTGCATATCAGTCACAAGACATCTATTACTAGGTATTTGAAAACTGATACAGGCACCTCTGCCAACAAATCCCCTACTGAGTGTGTGTGTGTGTATATGCATGTGTGTGCTTCTACGAGTGGAAAGTGAGAGCTGCAATTGACAAGGCTGCAATTAGAACTTGTGTCCAGCCCTCCTCCTCACCGCCTGTGCTATTACTGGACTGGCATCGACTGAAATAGACACATGCTTTTATTTTAGACACACTACAGTCATCTGCAGCCTGCGTGAGGGGGTTTGTGCATGTGTGTGTCACACGCTGCTGGAGGTTCTACAGTGTGCCATGCCAGAAATTTCACAAATGGGAAGAATTCTGTTGGACAGTTTGCAACACTATATGTGCTCGACAAACAGATACATTAAAACTGAATGCTCAGGAGCAGTTTATTCTGGTGCAGTGTATACCAAGCATGCAGCTGCAGAGATTTGTTGGTTTGAATGAGCCAGGATTAAAAACAGGCCATTTTCCATGTTAAACACTGAGAAAGACAGATGGAATCACAGGGAAATGTATGAAATGTAACAGCTGTTCTTGGGTTTTCCTGTCTTACTGTGGTCTGGGTCATCCAGGATGAGTACTAGAGGGTATGACGCCCAGTTCACAAAGTGTTCCGGTTTTTGGACTTATTGCGAAAAAGACAATATTCCTACTAAGCTTAGTTTACATGGCTACTGAAAAAAATATTATTGTTTACGTGCAGCTGTGCATACTCTGATTAACCTAACTGTTAAGGACGTACATCCTACTGAGGAATTTCCCTCCTTCTTCCTCTCTCCTTTTCAAACCGCAGTCATCTTCGCGTCAAAAGAGGATCTTTCACTGGTGGCGGACATGTTCGACCGTGTGAAAACAGCCTCCCTCTTTCATTCGTTCAACCACTTCCTTGAAAAGGTCAGCGTTGTGATATTTGTTCATATCCAAAAGCCTGGCGATATCCAAGTCTTTCATAATGTTTAACAGTAGGTGTGTTTCTCTCCCTCCAGAAATGTGGGATTTTCTTTGTTGTGTGCATCTCTACTCCAGCCTTGCAAACTGTTGATGAGTTGGCTTTAAGGGTGCTCTGACTGATCGGCCACTGATCAGCATATATTTGCTCTAAACAGATTGATCTCTCACAGACTGGGGGCGGCTGTGGCGCAGAGGC